CTAAACCCTAAACCCCGAAAGAAACCAAAAAGGTAGGCCCTGAGGACTGGCAGCTTCTGCGAGGCCGCCCCCGTGCAGAGGATGTGCGGCAGGGAGAGCTCGGCGCCCCTTAGCTGAACCTTTGGGGTTTAGGGTTTAGGGTAATACAGGGGCCTTGATACTTACATACTTACACCATTTTTTTGGGGGGTCCTTACTATAATGGTGAAAGCATAATATGCCACAAAACCCTATTCTAACTAATTAAGCCCCTATAATTATAGTATAATGTACTCCAAAACCCTATTCTAATTATTAAGGCCCCTACATTACGCGCACGCGTAGCCCAGAACCCCAGGGACTTTCGCCCGGAGCAACCCAAGGACTGCTGGTTCCTCTCCTCGCTGGCAGCTTTGGCTGAGTACCAGGACTTCGATTTAGGGTTTTAGGGTCTAGGTAGGGTTACGTGAGATATGACTTCGAAATGGAGGTTTCCGAAAATGAAGGGTCCCTTTTTTCGGAAACCCACACATGTGAGAGATGAGAGCGAGAAGATCGAGGGTGCAAGCCGCAGATTGGAGGGATCGATTCTCAGGGGCTACCATGAGGTTTTCGGGTGTCAAGGGCGCTTCATCCCTGTCAACCTTAATTCCATAAACATCTTGAGCACTTCAACTATCAGCTCCCTAAACTCCCGATTCTTCGTTTTTCCCTTCAAAACCTGGTCACTTCGTCCCGCTGCCGATGGTATCTCACCCACAAGCAAGGGGCACATGACATGGCAGCCTAAACCATGGCCACTTGTGTAATGTAGTATAAGATAGTATAATATGTATATGTAGATATAAATACTATGTTAGAGATATAGATATATACATATGTATACATATATACATATATATGTAATACAGGAAAACGCAATATAATGTGCTATAGTCGAATGTAGTATGCTAACAATTCGATACAAACTCCTGTAAACCCCAAGCACAAGAGCCCCTGGAACCAGGATGGCCGCTTTCTGCGGGCGCTCCTCCCAGAGCAGAGTTCGTGCCCCGTCTTAGGGAGTGGATGAGAATGTCATATGATTGTATAGCATGAGTTTATAGTTTGATTTTATGGTATGAGCTTAAAGAATGAGCTTATAGTAAGAGTTTATAGTATGTTTTTATAATATGAGTGTCACTAAATGGGTCGAAACGGGTTTGAGAGCCTTGGACCGATGAATTGGGAGTACGGTTTCGGATGAAGCGAGGCGTGAGGGTGGATGGGCATCCAACATACAACCCGTGCATACGAGATGTCAACAATGAAGACACGCTAAACCCTAAACCCTACACCCCGATAGCCTTACTGAGCCTTACTGTTCACCACGCACCGAACGGACAAGCTAAGATGCAACAACAGTGGCCTTACTGTGACGCTGCTCATCACCGGCCGCTTAGGCTCAGCCCCGCGGGCATTTACATGGTCCGGCTTTGCTTGGGTGGCTTCTGGCGGGAAGTCATCGTGGACGACCGGCTCCCCAGCTTGGGTGGAGGCCATCTATAGGGACTCCTAATAGGGACCCTTAATCCCATTACCTTCATTAACCATTGTATAGTCCTTTTATACCCCTTATATAGCCAGGTAGTCTCCATTCCATATCAACCCCAATAACCTACAAGGGTCCCTCCTAAAGCCCTTAGAGGCCTTTAGGAGGGACCCCTAATAGGGATCCTTAATCCCATTACCTCAAAAAATAACTTTTAATAACCATATTGAGACCCCTAATAGGGACCCTTGATCCCATTACCTCAAATAATAACCTTGAGTAACCATATTGAGGGTCCCTCCTAAAGCCCTAAGAGGCCAGTATCATCAGCAGCTCGCCTACTGCTCCACACTGCGGCTGCAGCTCTGGGCCAGCATCATTGAGAAGGCCCTTTGAGCTGGGTTTGGGGTTTAGGGTTTAGGGTTTAAGGTTTAGGGTTTAAGGTTTAGGGTTTAGGGTTTAGGGTTTAGGGTGTAGTACGGTAGTTGTTGCATCTTGCAGTCGCGCAAGAATCCCTGCGGCCAGGCTTTTGCCAAAGCTTGCGGGTCGTACGAAGCCTTGGTGGGAGGTGGGCCAGCACTAGGAGCACAAACATGTAGCTGTCGGAGATCTTGGCATCGTCGTAGGACTGCAGGATTGCACTAGACTGGGGCCCTACTTTAAGTGCAAGAGGACAACAGTGACATGGAATCACACTCCAGGCATACCAGAATTCAATAAGTCATCTTCTCAGAAGTTAGAAACCTGCGGAGTAGCTACAAGTTTGCCAATGCATTCTGTACATCCTTGGGAGGTCAGCCCAGCGAAGCTTTGGCGGTACTCACGGGATGGCCCTGCATGGTTATCTCGTTTCTCGTCCTGGCTAAAGAAGCCGAGAGGCTTTGGATACTTTTCGATCGTTTTGGGGGTTACCGGTTTACTGTTCAGGGTTGTTGCCTCATCTTGTGGCAAGAAGCGTCTTGCACCATGTCTGTCGGACAGCGGGCATCAGACCTTGCCCTTCCGCGTCACCGTGAGAAATAGAGAGGTGTGCGCATGAATGGACCCGAAAGAAGCCTTGAACAGATACCTGGATGCTCCAGAATCTGAGACGAGGTTTGGGCGAAAGGACTTCGATGCTGACTTGATGTGGGCTTCGCTCTGTTCGTCCTACAGTGCCGGCTTCCTTCTGACTCCAGGCTCCGTAAAATTCGAGCATGTCGGAGTTTTGAAACCAGAATCTGCGCTCTGGAGCTGGGGATAAGGCCAGCATTCTAGGGGGGATTAATCTCTCCTCGCAGCGGATGCAACCGTTACGGGAGCCTTTGGAACTTCGAGGCATGCTTCTCCGATTAAACTCCTCTGGAACCTAAGCTCGAAGGTTCCGGACTTAGGTGAGGCTCAATGTTGACGTGGGATGAAACCATGGAGCTCATTGTCGAAGAGTGCATCTGCATCATTTGCAACCCTAAACCCTTTCCTTGGATCCGAAGCGAGCCCCTGAGCCTAGATCTGCCAGGGAGGTCCGTCTTTCGGAACCAGAAATCCTGGAACCCTTCCAATCGAAGGGCCCAGTCCCAAATCGCATCCTGCGCCTAGGACGTGCTCCACCGGCCGCGGGGAGGAGCTCAGGCGCGGGAGGGAAAACGTGGTGGAATTCGGGTGAGGGGGAGTAAACCTGCAATACCTGTGCAGGGTGTTCGTGCGCTATTGCACCCAGGGCTGGGTGAACCTGTGGAGTGGTAAGCAAAGGAAGACGGGCGAATCTGTGGAAACATAGGTGGACGGCAACAAACGTTTGAACATGCATAATTACATTCGGAAAGGGACAACGAGAAACATTTGAGATTATAGCCTTCCTATTACCTGAACAGGCAAGAACTCGTCTTTATAGAGACTCCCAGTTCGGTGAAGCTCACAACGGCGTTTTGTGCTCTTACTTATTGACGCCACTGAATTTTTGGTGCTATGTATCGACTGACACTGGTGCTGGCCTTGCTGATGCAGTTGTGCTGGGTGTGATCAAAGCCACTAGTGTGATTGTCCATGCAATTAGCATTTAGTGCCATCGCCGTCAGTAACCTTCTCGTCAGCTTCAACAGGGTAGGCATTACCATCTTGAGTCATTGGCCTTGTTTTGGCTGCCACTGCTGCGTTCTCTTGATCATGAACCCTGCACCTGGGAGTTTCTGAAAATGAGGGACTTTTTACAACGAAACACTAGATTGATAAGGTCCAAGGGCCGCAGGAGATCACGACTCCGAAGCCCCAGCAGCGACCCTTCATGTGCAGAAACATCTCAAAAGTCGGATGCTAGACTATAATATATAACTTATATAGCAGCACAGAACGTAATATGATATTATAGCATCATGTAACACTACCATATACTATAATAAGCGGTTGTTGAGGTCTGAGGTTGGCCTGGCGCCGAACCACGCCTACTCCCTCATGGCAGTCCACGAGGTCACCACCGCGGACGGTCAGGCGCCCCGAAGCTCGGGGGCTTTTTGAAGCGATCGTCGGAGGATTCACAGGATGCTTCTGCAGGGCTCAGAGGGCCACCTGAAGCTTTGGACGTGATTTTGGAGCGCCTTCGATTTTTGGGGAAGCGGGGTTGGCACTTGAAGATGTTTCGGTGGTCCGGAGTTAAGGGCATGGATGCCGAGCAGCTACGAGATTTTGCAGCTTGAGAATGTATAGGGGTTGGAGATCTACCCCTAGCCATCTCATCAAGGTGCGTGGTGATTCGTACCTAGTCATGGCGTACACCGGAAGCGAAGACCACAGACCACATAGCTCAAGCCCCGAGCCTGTGGTGCAAACCAGCTACTACCGACAGCCGACAGCAAGGGCCACAAGGCGTGGGTCACAAGGGACCATCAGTTTATGTGCCAGAAACGAGGGTTTACAGACGAAATCCTTAAAGTGACGTGAGGGCCCTCCAAAAGCGCCAGCTTCCCTGGCTGCCAGGTGCGACTGCTCCAAATTCGCAACCCGCACGCGCGCTGCGCATGGAAGGGGGCCTCACGACTGAGTTTGGGGGTTTGTTGATTCAAGCAGCTGCTTTCGCATCACCCCGTGTCAGAGATGGTTGCGAAAGAGAAAGATGGTTATCTTGTAATCCGAGAAATGGAGCAGTAAAGCGTCAAAAACGACTGCACCAAGCAGAAGAAACCTCACAAAAACATATATCGAAAGTTAAAAGTTCGACGTAGACTCATAAACCCTAAACCCCTAAACCCCCAAAACTTCTACTAAACCTCTATCAACCCCTAACGCCCCGAAACCCTTATAAACCCTTAAAGCCCTGAAGCCCCGAAACCCTTATAAACCCCCTATCAAACTCCTAAAAACGCCTAAACCCCTGAGCCCTTATAAACTCCTATAAACTCTAAAAACAAAACCCAGAACCCCCTGAGCCCTTGTAAACCCCCTATCAAACTCCCAAAAACGCCTAAAACCCCAAAACTTCTACTAAGCCCCTATAAACCACTAAAGCCCCGAAACCCTTATAAACCCCCTATATAAACCCCTACAGCCCCGAAACCCTTATAAAACCCCTATCAAACTCCAAAAAACTCCTAAAAACGCTTAACACCCCTAGAAACTCCTATCAAACTCCTAAAAACGCCTAAAACCCCGCCGAAAGATCACCGGAAATCTAGGCCTGGTCCCAGCGGAGCGGCCACTGGACGCCGGAGCTGCGCTCGAAACTCCGATACCCAGCGCCTCCGCCCATTTTGTTTAGGGTTTAGGGATTAGGGTTTAGGGATTAGGGTTGAGGGTTTAGAGATTAGGCATTGGGTTTTTTAACGGCTTTAGGGTTTTTTGGGGCTTTAGAGCTTGGGGGTTTAGGGTTTTAG